AACTATCAGACTATAAAATAAACTATCTAAGCTTTTTATTATGTCTTGAGTCTATTTGTAAAGCATTTCCGTTACTCTGATTAGGCGCGTTACGCGAATGTCGCGTCGCCAGGCCTTACTGAAGCTATTTCCCCGCTAACAATGTATATTCTAGTACTGTTGTATTAGTATATGTTTACGCATGTTTCTGTTCTTGTATTGTTATGTAGCTTGTGATTGATATGGGTATATGTTAACAAATTTACATTATTGTTTTTCTTTGGATGTGTTTGATTTATACATATTGCTAAAATTTGTAGATTCTTGATACAATTGATGCAATTATTTGATGCAATTAATTGAGTCACTATTAAAATACAGTATATAAATAATTAAGTCATGATGCAATTATTTTTGAGGATTTTGGAAATTGAGTCAACAGCAAATAATTTATATCACATGTATAGTTTAATTTATTGTTTGTTATGTTTATGTACATCTTGTTTATAATATGGTTTGTGTTGCTATGTTGTTGTACTGTTGTATTAACATGTGTTTTATCTGTTGATTTAATGTGTTATTGTATTGAAAGTTTAAAGTATATTGTTGTATTGTCACATGTTTTGCTTGTTGATTTGACATGTTGATATGTTGAGTGTTTAGGACACATCACCTGTATTAATTTTGTCTTGTGTTTGTGTTACTATTGATCTTTGGAAGAAGGTAAACTGTTTACAGTTTTTTTGGTTTCAAGAAAATTTTGATCACATAATAGCTGTTGTTTATGTTGTGTATTTGTTTTGATCTGTGTCTTTTTTTCTTAATCATAATAAAAGAAGGTCTTGGTGTCCTTCTGGTTTTGTTCTAGTAACAAGGTTGCCTGGTTTACCATATGTAATCTGGCTAAAGCAAAATTCTGCTGATATCTAGAGAGGTATTTAACCTGGTGCACAACTGGCTAACAGCTTGTGAAGTGCAATGCTAACTTTCTTTTTTTATTTAATTATGAATTGTATTTCTTGTCTTTTTCTCTGTTCCAGGGAGGAAACACAAGTGTGGACCTGTTTTTCTGAAAAAAAAAAGAAAGGAAGAGTAGATACAGAGGCCTATCATATTATTGTGGACACTTTTATTTTTTAAATAATAAAAAATTTTTTAATAAATAAATTTTAAAAATTTAACGATATACTTATATAATATTAAGGTATAATCCATTTAAATTTCATGCAATTTTATTTATTTATTTAAATTTATGTTAAAAAAACTTCAACTTAATTTTTTTTTTTTAAACCAAAGATCAAAATTAGATTTTTTTTTAAGTTATCTATCCTCTAGCCGTATCAGATAATTGTTTGAACCATTATTAGATGCGCTGTAAAATTGTGGCAAAGATTTCATTTATAACTATACCAACCATTTGTGTTGTTTTTTGATAACTGAGTCTTCATTTTTTTTCACGATTCTATATTAAATTCTTATCAGCAAATAAATAGCCTAGTTATCAAAATTCATAATCAGGATCTGTGTAAGAAAATTAAAATTTTTATTGATTATTTTGCATCCATATTTTATGATAGAGTACAAGATTTATTGTGCAGATTAATTTTTGTTAATGATATAATAGAAGTAATATCGAATGCTATTTACTATGGCCGTAATATGCTAGTATAATACTATGACAGTGTAACGGCGAATCTATCGCCAATCCTAGCAGAGATTCGCGTAACTGTTGTCAGGTAAGTGAACTTAAGGTGATTTTAAGCGTGTTTAATTTGACCGAGTCTTTATTAATTTTCTTCTCTACTTTCTATATACTTTCAGATTTTTACATGTAATTTATATTCTCTTTCTTTACATTTGGCTATGGCGGCTTGGACATAGAACAATAGGTGATAATACAATGACAAGGCTAAAGCTAGATTACTAATTCTCTTTCCCAATTTCTCCTGTCTCTCCTTTATTACCTAATTATTACAGCCGACTCGCTATTATCGCGACGTAACTGACGTCGTGTTTCTGTTACAATATATACAAACTTTTGAAGATACCATTACCTACTGTCGTGGGCTATCCGGCAAGCCCACACTGCTTCTCTTTACACTCAGTTAATAATAAAGCAAGTTTCCCTAACTCTTGAGGTGTATTTCCGATTTGACCGTTCTCCATTTTAACTTCTCTATCGATTAACCTAGAACCCTTCTAATGCCAATTCCCTTGGGCAGATCTTGGTTCTCTCTTTAGACGCATAGTCCAAGTTATAAGTCTGCTTTGGCACACTTAAACACGAGGCAAGGGTTTCTCTTTAAACTTTATTGTTTTTTCACTTAATGCGTTCTAAACTCTAAACTAAACTCCAAAATCCGTCTAAATATTACTGATTTGTGCATGTATTGGTACATGCGCCTATTATTTACATGTTTACATCTGTTGCTTTTTCCCACTGACAATCTCATAACACAAAAATTACATGACGCAACGTGTGTCACATTACTGCGCTTATTTTTTACCCACAACATTACTATACATGGCAATGATATATTAAAGTAAAAGAATTATTAAATTGGTGGTCGTATTATTTATTAATCTTGATATAATAAGAATACCAATTAGAAATTTTTATAAGTTTTTTTAAATATTTAATTATAGCGGCCTTTTGAATAACCTTGAGTAATTTTTCTAACCATATTTTGCGAATTGTTTATTTTATTAAATTTAAAATAATAATTATTAAATAAAAAATTTAGTAGTAATTGAAAAATGTATTTATCAAATAATTTGGTTTTGACAATTAGTTTTTTAAATTACCGATTATCAATTACTATTATTTCTTATAAATATTGATTTTTTTTTTGAGTAAGAAAGCGTTATTCTTATTATTTGCATACATGAAATTAATATATTTAATATTAACTAGTGAGTCTGTCACTAGAAGTAGCCAATATTCATATAACACTCAGTAAGTAACAATAGTGTTTTAAAGATAAGACAAACTTAATATTGATAAAAAAAATCGAAAATTCTGATTAATTATTCTTTTTTCCTTATATATGTAATTTATGCTAATTACATAATAATATTAATGAAACTAACTAAAGCTAAAGCTAATAATATTTCATGGCAAAACTATTATCAAATAATATTTTATATTACCTTTTAATTTATAGTTATAGAATAAACTTATAGTATTGAATTTATTATTGCAAATATTGATATACAACTCTTATTGAGATTGTATTATGAATTAGATATGTTTCTTGACATTTTATTTCTTTTTCTTGTGCCATTTTCTATCGCAATACTGTGCTGCATCTCACTAAGTCAGATATTATGATGATTTTAAAATATAAAAAATAAAATAAACATATTTTAGCAAAGCTATGTATATTAAATTTAATGTTGTTTTTCTATCACGTTTTACGCAATATTGAAAAAATCAAGTGGCTTCATTAGTTCACTCAAAAAAGAATATAATTTATAATCCAAAAGAAAAAAAGAAAAAAATAATGATAATAATAAAATAAGTTTTATGAAAATAAAAACAATATCTACAAAAATCTTCCGTTTAGTGTTTTATTCTTTTTATTCTTTTCTACTTTTGACAAAAGTTTTAATTGATAGATATAGATACGTAAAAATAATTCATATAATCATTAACAAGTTGATTGGTCAATTTTATTATTATTAAAATTATGGCCATTATTATTGTTATCGTTATTGTGATTGTTATCATTGTTATTTCAAATAGGTTTAAACAAGTTTAGTTTAGTTATGATGAATGCTAGCAATTAATTAATTGGTCGATAGTGTGTTTCAATTGGAAGAGCTAACTGTTTTTGTTTTTTTTGTTTGAAAAATTTCAGTGGGCAGTAGACGACGTCAAAAGCAAGGTTGTTTGAGAAAGTTAGATTAAAAACAAACAAAATATCTAATGATTTTGGTTGAGTATATTAGTTAAATTATATTTATAAAGTTAAAGAGTGTAATAAAGTTATAAAATTCAGGTGCTTTAATTATTTTAAATAAAAATTTCAAAATATTTTTTAATTTTTTCTCGAATGTTTAGATTGTACTTCTTGAATTGGAAATTTTTTAAAATTCCTTTTATCATTCTATCATTAAATGTCACTAGTGTCATGGGCTTATTTGTTTTTCTTCTTAGTAACATTGTTGTTTTTATTATTGTGTTTTAATCTTTTTATCAACAAGATCTTCTTTTGTAAGTTTATATTACATCGGATCTTTTTCTACAATACTAATATTATTTGTTATTTGTTGTTTTTTTTTTGCTATTCAAAACAAGGTTGCATGGGTGGACATTTACATTCTATGGACTCAATTTTATTAATTATATACTAATTTTTAAATACTGTAATAATAAATGTGAAAGGAAATCGTACAAATAAATATGAGCGCTTTAAATAAATGCCTGAAATAAAATTATGCTGATTACATAACATGACAAAAAAATACAAGATATACTATAACAGCTACAAAATTAAGACATTAATGGTATAAACTAGACTGTATAAGCTCTCTCTCCGCTACACAACGAAGAATCTATGTCTAAGCTTGGAAATCCATATGATTCAGGTGACTACACTCAACCTAGTTAAAGCCTCCATTGCTTTTGGCTGTTTCTTCAATGCGGCCAATTTAATCAATTCGATAGCCTTATCTTTATCCATGGCTCTTCCCAACTTTCCATGTAAATAAATATCACCTAAATTATATAAAGCAGTCGCGTTCCCTTCATCTGCTGCCTGTGTTATGTAAGAAATTACAGTTTCTACATCATAATCTTCCTGTTCGAGTAATAGAAATGCATATCGAAGTTGTGCATCAGGCACACCTTCGTCTGCCGCCATCTTGAAGTATCTTAGAGCTTCACTAGAATTTTTCTTAACATGATATCCTGACATTAAGTAATAACCCTTCCAGTACTTTGCAAATTTATGACCGAGCTTCGCATGCCCGTCGAAACATTCCCAAGCAGCTTTGTAATTCTTTTCTTTGTGTGCTTGGATTCCTTCTT